CATTTCTGTTGTTTAATGGCTTCCTATTTAACCTTTCTTCAATCATTATTAATTTAACTAATTCAGTTCATGTAGCACACCGATTAGCTGGGTTCTACTGTGCTGAGCACAGCTAGAGAAGGAGGCTTTTGGTGCTCCACTGAAAAACATTTTCCTACTTTCCTTGCTGATCAAAATGGTCAGAAAAAAATCAGAATTGCACTGGATGCTTGGAGAATTTAAGAGAGGGATTGTCTGCAGAAAGTGACCTGATAAGAACCTGCAGTAGAGTGCTTGAGCAGATGCAATAAAGCCAAAGCACATCCAGCTTCATTTTTTCTCCAAGTAATTTCAAGTTATATGTATATAGCAGTGTATTTATAGATAGGCATGTACACATATGCCTTTATAGTCTTACACGTTAAATGAGCATTACATTTTCTTTCTCTTCACAGTAAGGCAAATAAATTGGGTTTTTTCCCCCTGTAAAGTAAATTTATTCCAGTTTTAAATAAAACCTGTTTCTTGGCAGTTTCTCCCAGTGTGCAAGCCAAATATTCTTTAGTATTGTGCAGAAAACTTCAGCAACATCAAGCATTGAAAAACTAATCAGGACATCCAGAATAATGGTGTAGAATAATAAAAAAAAATAAATTAGAAATGGTTCTATATGTTAAGCACTTGGTTCTCCTCATCTGTTCATGTTTTTTTGGATTCCAAGTGCAACCAGGGAGCAGAAACCTACTCTCTTAAAAGGAACCTGATTTTAACATAAGCAAATGATCCCAGGAAAAGCAGCTTTAAAGAAATGAATATTCTGTGTTTCAGGATAAAACCTGCACATGAAACAACGGTGGCTTCAGCTTATGATGATTTCGTTTCATTAGGTCCTATAAAATACCTGAAGTAATTCCAAGCTTCTCAAGGTCAGTTAAGAGCAAACACAAAAATTAGTAGTAACAAGGTCCAGGAATGGAAATATCTGGAAATTTCTTTCCCCTGACCTTAATTTTCTGCCTTTCTGAAGCACAGACCTTGCTGGAGCCTTTCTGCTGAGTCATTTCTCCAGAGGATGACAGTCTTAGGGACTCATTAAATGAAATATCTCGTCCTAAGGAAAGTCCCAAGAGCACTTCAAAGTGTTCTCCCTGTCCAGGCCCTTCTGCAGTAGTTTTATCCCACATTTTCTGGTGTAATGATGTTTTTCTCCTTTGGGTTGGATGTGCTGAGCAGGAGCTGTTTCAGTGACCCCTCTTAGATCCTGACTGTAACTCTTACATGGGGCTGGGACTTGTAGGGGGCTTTGATGGGATTCTGTCCTGTCTCTAGTGGGATGATCTGAATTTCTTCATTTGAGGGTAATACTGGTGAATTTTGTCACTTCAGCTTTCCTATCCTGTGTGCTTGGTCTCCAGTTCAGATTTGCAGTCCTGCCAAGCTGCCTGTTCAGATCAATAACAGATTTCCTCACCTCTAAATATGCCTGTTTTTCTATCTCTACGTGTTTTGATTAATGCACAGTGATGTTATTAAATCTTTTTTACCAAATAATGGTTAAAGCTTTTTTACCAAGGACAATTTGATCTCCATAAAGAACCGATATCAAATATCAAGGACAAGGATATATTGCCCCTGGAGAATTTGGATAATTCTGTTGTTTTGTGCCTAAATAACACAACCTTTTTGATCACTCCTCTTTCCTTAGCCTCATAAATGATAAAACCTTTTGGATATTTATTTCATGTTCAGACTCAAACTTGAGCTCACCAGAGCTCTTCCTCTGCTACTCTGCATTTTTGCTGAACTTTTTGCTCACCCTTCACCTGGGACTGTTCTCTCTGGGTTGAGATTCACAGTGTGTGCTTATATGACACAAACTTACAGAAACCTTCACCCAAATCTCGGTGTTTTTCTTTCTGAACGGCATTTAACACATTTTGAAGTGTGTGCACGGTGCTGGTTATAACAACCCCTCCTTTATTTCGCTCTCAGCTGCGTTGCCCACCCGAATCTCCCCCTGCGGTCCCCCCTGCTGGCCCTGGCCATGGCTGTCCCCTCCCCTGGTTGCCAGGGTGACTGGGTTTCCCTGATGCAGATGCTCTCTCCTGGCTCCCTGCCATCCCTCTCCCAGAGACAGAGCGGAGTTTTCACTTGCCCTCGCACACTGAGGACTCCTGGTTGCTCTTCTGCCTGCCCAGGCAGCTTTCCTCCCTCCTGAGCAGAGCTGCCTGAGCAGCTGCTGGAAGGACGAGGGATCTGCTGTGCCTGCAGGGTGGGATCAGCAGCCTCTGAGCCAGCTCTGTGAAGTCACCTTGCACTATTTCTCCTTTTTTTTTTTTTTTTCCCTTTCTTTTTTTTGACTCTGATCCTTCTTGAGCTGGAGTCCAGCCAGTTTTCACTCTCTTAATGTGGCTGTGATGAGGAGGAGCAGGACCCAAGAGTGGTACATATGCAGCAGAGGTAAAGCCTTTTTTGTCTGTTTTTCAGAAGGGGTGATATGGATAAATTCAATTTCCAGCATTAGTGACATTGGAAAATGGATCCTTGCAGTACTTTAAAGGATATTTACCTCAGAGCTTTTGCCAAGCTTTAAATCAGAATTGTAAAAGCCTCACAGTAGAGCATTATTAAATTTAGGTGCAGAATTTCAGGTTGTTCAGAAACTTTGTGAAGGAATTTGACTGTTTTCTGTCACTGAGCAAACAGATATTAAACTATCTTTGTGCTCAGCCCAAAACCCAAAAATTCAGGTCCTACATGCCTGTTTCAGGTTGTTGGTAAATGTGGCCCCACCATGGAATCACTCTCTGAGGCCAGTGAACAGTTCTGAGTAACAAATCAACGGAGAGTTGCAATTTGCAAAGTATGACTCAGCTGCAGCCAAGAAGTCCTAATTTTAGTCAATTAACTTCATGGAGTTATTTTTCCAGCTCTAGTTAAAATGCTCTTTTGAGGTCCCAGTAAGGAAATCTTAGTTGTTGCAGGCTAAGAATTTAGGGATGCCAAAACTGCTTGTTAGTAGTTGAGATTCTCTGCTTTTCCACAAGGCATGAGTATTTTGTCTCCTGTATTCCCCTGTGTTTCCTGTGGCAGAACATCACATAATTCAAAGAACAAGACTTTTAATACTCTGTATTCTGGGGCACAATGAAAAAGTGCATTAGGCTGGTGCTTTAAGTGTAAATTATGGAATGCTTCCAAATACAATGTTCCCAAATACAATTTCCAAACAAATGTGGTCCTTTCCTCGAGTTCATCCCTCACCCTCTCCCCTGCACTTTCAACAATCCATCTCTTGAGCTTGTTTCGATGCAGTTTGCTTGTTTTTAGAGCAGTGGTGTATATATGCAAATCTCTAAGTAGTAGTGCCACCCTTGTTTTATAGGAAATCCAGGAACAGCAGCTTCACTGCAGCTCCCAGACACACTCACAACCCTCAGCATGCTTTTCTTCCTAACTTCATAAATTATTTTTAAAACACACAGCCCCTTACATCCAGCAGAGTTCTGCTCATGTGCTGGCTCTTCTGCACAGGACTTATTTACCAAAGCTTTTCCTGCAGTGCTTGGGAAATGAAGATAAAAAAGTATTGAGCCACTTCCATTAACAAAGTTAGTAGGAAGCACTTGCTGGAGCAGTTTGTAATGTTTGTACATCAAGCTGGAAGAAGGATGTTCTATATTTAAAGTACTTCCTTGGAAGAAGCATTGGAACAGTGTTAACAGCTTTTCCTGTGAACACAATTTTCCCTTTTTTTCAGCCAAAAAAGTAATAGCTGAGGAAGGCTGCAAGAGCACCAGGCTTATTCCTGACGGCTTGGAGCCTTCCTGAGCAAATGGAAGTTAATAGTCAAGGGGTTAAAATGGAAAAGGGAATGATCTTAGATTTCAGCCTCCTGTGCAGCCCTCAGTTTTATTCCAAGACATCAAATATCAGGACATATTTTAACCGTGACAAAGCTGCTTTGACCAATGGCTTGACCAGTAAAATAGATACAGATTTTTGTCTTGTGCACACCAGGCTGTGCCATAAATGTAAAAAATGACTTTATTCATCAATATATGGCACTCTGAGGAGTGTCTTGTCTTACAGCAGGGGTTGGGGCTGGGGGTTTATTTGACACAGATTTCCTCAGCACTTTTGGAAGGGCAATTTGCAAATGAAGTGCAGGATTCATTACCCAGATTAGTGAAGGTTATTTGATGAATTTGGACATTACCACATCTGAAATAACTTTGGATTCTTACTTTTCCTCTGGTCTATTATTACAAAAATAAATCTTTTAAATGCTGAAATATTTACAGTAGTGTTATAGAGCAGATCCTTCATGTGTGATACAGGCTTGAATTATTTGTCCTGAATTAATGTGGATGAGTTCTTTGAGAAGGGTTTAAATGCAGTGAGCAGTTCAGATAGTGCTTGGTATTGCTCCTACAATATGTACATATATACGGGGAAAACACAGAATTCTCTTAGCATGGAATTGTGATTTTTGGAGGCACAGCTTTTAAGTAACAGCATGTGAAAAAATACTTCATCTGCCTCTCATCCTTCAATCTTTATGCAACCACTGAAATGTAACATATAAAAATTAATGAATATTTCTCCCTCTTTAAGCATCTGAAAGTTTTATCTCAAGGGAAGATGCCCAGCTGTTTTAAAAGTAAAGATATCAGAGAAAAATATTGCTGTAGCTGATGTGTCCAAAGGAGAGATTGCCTGTAACTAGAGAGTGAAGCATCTTGAAAACTCCACAATGTCAGTTTGAGAGTCTCAGTGCTAACAAGTTAATCTTACACTGGCAGCTGCTTCTCAAGAAGGAAAAACAGCCCTATACTGGAGACCTGAAATATCTGCTCTGCCCAAAAGCTTTCTTGTATTTTAGCTAAAAATCAGTATAATATTTGTTCCCATTATTCTTAACCTATCCAATGAGAGAACCAATTCGAGCCGTTGCTGTGTTTCCTGTCACAGACTGTGCCATTAACTGTGGTTAGACCAGTTAAGAAGGACTGACTTACCCTGTCCTCTTCAGCTCTCAAGTCTGGCATTGTGCTCACACAAAGGCTGACAGCTGTGGTGGCCACAAAGAGGATGGAGAGACAAGCAAAGACTTTGCCTGGCAGTCCTGACTGGGGATTTTCCACCATATCTCGGAGTCTGTTCATGAACTGCCCAAATCTGGTTTTCTCATCCAAGACGCACGAGGCTTCCTTGCTCCTCCGGAGCTCCTCTTCCTTGCGGATCTCGGCCAGCTCCTGCAGTTTCTGGAACAGTTTCCGAAAGCAGCAGTTCTCCAGGTTGGATTCCTCAATGCCCCAGTACCTCAGCTCCTCCTGGAAAGACAAGGCACACATGTCTCTCAAGAGCATCAGCTTCCCTGCTGCTAGGAAGCTGACGATCATCCCAAACGCGTTGGGGTTCCTGTCAAAGAAGAACTCGTGGGTGTCTTCATCGTAATCGTCGCACAGCTGGATGATTTCTTCGTAGCTGCTGCAAAGCTTTAGTTTGCTCAGTCTGGTCAGGGGAAACTCATCTAAAGTACTCCAAGGCAGCAGGTACTTGATGCCTCCTACATTGATCATGATCTCTGTCTTTAGATCGGCTGCAGACGCTTGGTCCGGGTGGTAAATCCTCCTGGCTCTCTGGTAATGGACCCCCTTGACAGAAGGGGTTTCCACGCAGATGGGAAGGAAGTGGCTCAAGGAATTGCAGGAGTTGTAGCTGATGTTGCTATAGTCTTGGTCACTGCCTCTGGAGAGAATAGGCATCTCTAAGAGTTCTCACCGGGACATCCAGAACGGCATCAGAGCGGGGGGATCTGTCAGCCAGCAGATACAGGGAGGAGGAGAAAACATAGCAGAGGTTACTGCGAGGGAAAAGGTGTTCCCAGGCACTTTCCTCGGTCTCGAAATTAGTGAGCGCCTGTTTTGCAAGTAGAAGTCACCTCTGTGCTTCTTCCTGGAACCTGCAGCCCGTGAATGAGCTTGGCTTTGCAGCCTCATTGGTTGTCTGGCAACACAGGCACGGAGCAGAGCTACAGCCTCATTCATAATTATCAGCCAGGCTCTGCCAATCCAGCCGGGAACACCTCGGGCTCTTCTCCCGGCAGCTCCGGGCACCCTTACCCTTATCCCGCTAATTTCCCGGTCGCTGTCGCTTCGCTTTCTTGTTTCTATAAACCCCTAACCACGCTCTAACCGGACTAAGCTGCTTAATAGCTATTAGAGACAGAGTGGTCAATTACCTGCCATCAAGCAGCGGAGTTCCCCATCGCTTTAACCGGGTGCTCAGACCGTGCTCCCTCCTCTCTCTGCACACCCGCTCTGCCTCTGGGGGGACTGCGGGGATTAGCGGGGACAGCTTTACACAGTGCCTTAAGTGGGCAACTTGTGTCTAAATGATGACTATTCTGATCAACCCGACCTCGTGCCGCTGCAAATTACTGAGAAGCTGGAGGGGAACCTTTGCCCACCGCGGGGAGAACTTTTGTGAAGCAGGCAGAAAGTGTTTTCCCAGCTCGGAGCGGGGCAGCGATTGAAACACTCCCTCCTCCTTTCAGGGACAAACCCCTGCTTCTGCCCGTAGTCCCTAGAGATTAAAAAGCAGCTTTTTTCCCCCCAAATTAGCGAAGAGCACTGCAGGGAAAGTTTCCCGGAGCCGCTTACCGGCAGGGCGGAGCGGCTGCCCCGCGGGTGATGCTCACATGCCGCACACGGGGCAGGGTCCGGCAGCAGCTCCTGGGAACATGCTCCGGGATGGATCACACGGAAAATCCCTGCAGCACGCTGGAGCTGGCCGTCTCTTCCCTCCTCCGCTTCTTTCCTGGAAGGGGAAAGCAGGCGTGTGTGTTGATGTAACATATGTTGTGCTGAGGTGTCCCGAGGGGCAGCTCCTCTGCTGGGAGATGCTGGGGAGAGCTGGTGGATCCTGCCCTCTCCCTGTCCCTCCTCTCCTTCCCCCGGGACTGTCACTGTGGTCCTGGAAGAGGAGGGGAGAGGGAAGGGGGAAGGGCTTAGGAATAATCTCTCCAGCATCCCTCCGTGTATCCAGCAGGCAGCAGGCAGCAACGGGGTAAGAACATGGAGTACAAGTCCCCGGCTAATGAGGTTTAATAACCAGTAAATTCTGGCAAATCTCCTTAATAAAACAATTTCAGTGTCTATTAACTCCTTCCATCATAGTCATGCTAGAGCCTCTTGGTCTGGAGAAACCAGTTAAATTTATCAGCAGCTGTTTCCATCACCTGCATCCCTTCTGAAACTGGGATTTGCTCTTTAATGTCCCCAGACGGAAAGGGGAATTTGTAGTGTCCATGGATGCTGTGCCTCAGCATTCCTTTGGCTGTTATGGAACAGATTTCCTTCCATAAAAGAGAGGACCTCTGGCTTGTAAAGCACAGATGCTGAGCACTCTCTTTTCCAGATCTGCAGTGCTTTTCCAACAGCCAAGAACATTTTCCTCTTCTCTTTACAGATGATGGGAAACCAAACCTTATCATTTTCTCGCTTTGCTCATGCGTGGCTCTAGGGGACTGGGCTTGCTGTAATGATTTTGGGTTCTGCAGTTGGGATGGCAGAGATTTCACACAAATTCTGTTTGCTTGGCCTCCATTCTTGGGTCTAAGAAACCTGGGGTCAGGTTCTGTGGCCAGGTACCCTCCGTGGGGCTCCCCAGGCAGTGAGGAAAGCCTTGGCTTGTGTCTGCAGCCAGCGTGGCTGAAAGCTCTGAGGTGAATCCTGTCTCCAGAGAGATGTGTGAACCTGTGGGATTTAAATGGCACACTGAGAGTGTGAAGGGCACCAGGAGAAGTGAGAAGGGGACAAAACGCAGGTGCTCCTCAGGCCTGTGATGTGTGAGGGGCTGGTGAAGCCCTGAGCTGCTGCTCCTCAGCTCTTTATCAGCGCTGAGCGAGGCTATGGCACAGCCTAGGACAGGAAACCTTTGCTAATTGGGCTTTTGGGGCACATCTCTCTGGGCCACGTAGTGCCCACAAAATTAACTTCTTATCAGGCTTCAGCACCGGGGTTTTCACTCCAGCCCTAATTCTGCCATCCTCAGAGAAAGGCCAGAGAGATGCCTGAAGGCCACGGAGTTGTGGGAGCTCAGCTCAGAATCACTTCAATCCCACCACCTTTGTGCAGGACGCAGCTTGCTCTGCCCATCCGTCTTTCTTATGGATTATTGCTGCGAAGAAAAAGCAAACCCATTCTAATTAACTTTGGATGGATTGTTTCACAAAAGGATAAAACCAATTAGCATTTCCTTCCCACCTTGTGAAGCCCTTGCATGGTGTTGTTAAAGGTTATTTTTCTGACAAGAAGGTGAATAAATCCAAAGCAATGAGTAAATGCTGTGTGCAATTGAGTTATTTAAGTGCTGCATTTATTTATCAAGAAATACGTGTACTTTAATTTTAGGCTTTCTATTCTAAGACTGGGTACTCTAATAGTTGTTTTATTGGGACCTGCAGTTGTGTCTGCAGATTGATCAGGTCCTCATTACTCATACAAATACCTGTCAGAGACAGAGAATGGATATGGAGAGAATGTATAGAAATATTTCTATCTGAATTTTATCAATGGGAGATGAGTGCACACAAAAGAAATATACCTAATCTGGTGTCTGAGGAAGCCAGCCCTGAACCCAGCTCTGAAGGGCTTAAACATGTACCTCACTCCAGATCTGTCCTTCTGTCCTGGCCAGGCTCTGTTTCTGCCCTCCTGGACCCTTCTGCCACAGCTGTGGGAGACCTCTCACCTCTGCAGGTGAGAAAGGCAAATTCCTGGCTCAGTTCTAATATCTTCTGATGTGTTCTTTCACATTTTAAAAAATTTTCATCTTCGTGATTGATTTTTCATCAATCACTACTGCTATAGTTATCCTGTTAAATTCTCTGTACCCTTTTCAAGATGAGGTTCACAGTCCTTAATTTCTTCCTCTGTTCCCCGTTTCCCTCACAACTTCTGGAATTGCTCTCTCCTTGCTCTTTAGCCATCTGGTTATATCAACTCCTCACACACCCTTTATGCCTTAGATGCAGCTTCCATATGCTTCACTGATTTGTTGGCATGGATGACATTCCTCTCTCCTGCTTCTTCCCCTCCTTTGGTAGTTTTGCCATTCTCCTGTGGTTTGGTTTAGTCCTTGCTCTCTCAGCCCTGCTGTACAAGGACAAGGTGCAGCTGCTGAGGAAGGAGCAGCAGGAGGTGCTTGCCCAGCGGGTTGGGAACCTGCTGGCTGTGGTGGTGCAGTTCAAATCCTGTCCCTGGCAGAGTGAGCCTATCTCCCCTACAGATGTCAGCAATGAAAGCCTTCACAGGACTCTTATTCAGAGCCGAGAGCTGGCTTTTGTAAGAGCTGATGCTGTAGGAGATGGGGAAGCTGGTGGTGTTCCCTGTCACCTGCTCACCTGAGATTTCATCTCTGCTGTTCTGTTCTCTGCAGCTATGCCAGCATCCTGTATAAAGAGCAGACACACACAGAAAACAGAGATTCTTTTTTCCCACAGAGCACACAATAAAACTGTAGAATTTATGGGCACACGCAGTTGCAGTGGCCAAAAGTGTAAAGTATTGAGAAAAGAACTGAGAAATTTATGCAATGAAGGTTCCCCAGGCAGATCCAGTGTCTGGCACAGAAATTCAGCAGCCCACCTACTCCTGGGCACCAGGGAGATGTTTTAGCACAGGTTGCTGTTGCACCTTTGGGTTGATCATACAATATTTACCTGACAATATTTCCCTGTCAGAAGAGCCCAAAAGGCCTGAATTATCTGCTTATATCCAGATGTGCATGTATAGCCACTCCAGACTAATGATGTCTGTATATAATGGGCAATCTCACTCGGAAATGCTCCGTGCTTCCAGCCTCCCAATCTTTCTGCAGGGAGCAGCTTGTAATTTAATAAAAGCACTGTTGTCAATCCTCCTCCCTCCCCAAGCAGGCTTTTTGTGATGCTTAAATATAATACCAAGATAATTGCTTTGCCTGGCATCTCTAACACAAGATGCATTTCAGGCTTTTAAAGTCAGGGGGAAAACAAAAGTGTAAATCAAAATAATTATTTAAAGAAATATGAATGCGCTGGAGAAGGGGAGGGGAAAAAAAAAAAATGAGGAAAAGAAATTAATTTTCAAAGCTTGCACTGTCCTCATTCATTGGCTTAGAAATCAGCCCAGTGCTGCATCTTCAGTGGGTACAGTTTCATCACAAAATTATTTGATGCTGTTTCTTTTAGTGATTGAGTATACAGCCTGTGGTCTGTGAGCCCTGATTCTCCTTTAGGCCTCAGCCAATGTACAGGCCTGGCCTTTCTCAGATTCTTTATGTGTGTGCCATGTGAGTGCTGATGATAAATAAAACAATATTTTCGGTTATTTGGAAAAAATAAAGAAAAAATAAAGGAATTATATGCGATTGAAAAGAGCATCTAAACACCCCAAAATTCATTTAAATGCTTCCATTGTGTTCATGGGTGGCTAGCACTTCTGGATTTAATTGGATGTAGATAGCCTTCTTACATGGAAATTCAGGCTCTTTTCAGATCCCCGTGTTACTCACTGGCCATAAAGAATAGCTTGGCCTCCTTTTCTCCATTTAATTATGACATTACACATTGCAAGGTAAACTTTTAGGATTGATGCCAACATTTTTATTCAGTCCAGCAATGTTTGCTTCATGTTCCTGTTTATTCCCCCATAATTTGTCTTTATGAAGCAATAGAAACCCCCTCTCTTGCCAAATGCCTCCTTTGTATGAATAATTAAATTGACAGTAAAGCACTCGATCCACCTCTTCATTATTCAAGTCTTACCAAGTTGCAGCATTATTGATTCCAGTAGAATAATGCTTCAAGGGCCCAGGAATATGTGGTAAATCAGGCTGTGGGTACCCAGGATTTGTTAAACATTTTATAAAATATTGCTGGTTCATCCCTGCCCTTGGAAACCCCAGCCATGATCCATGGTCCTGTTATGCCACAAATTGTCTTGGAAGACTGAGTCACATATCACTGGCAGTGTTTTATTCCTTATTTCCTTCCTTGCCTTTGTAAAAGTTTCTTTTTTTCTCTGTCAAGTCTGATGAAAGATGAAAGGGGTCACATCTGAATTACCACCAAAGCAAATGAGCCATTTGGGGCATTTCTTTGCTATGTAAATACAAAATAATGTCCATGACATGTACCACACGCATTTCTGTGGCGTTTCACTCCTCTCCCTGTGCAAAGACTGAACCTGAACCAACTTTGCTGAAGTTTCTTGAAGTTTTCTTCAGCTCTTTTTTCCTCTGGGCTATCTAGAAAATTATTCTTGTTAATAAACAGTAGCTGAGGAAAGGAATCCCAAAGGGATAATCATTCCTACGTGGACCCCAATGAATTTTGCATAAGGGATGAATCACGTAAGTTTAAAAGGGTTTGAGGAATAGAAATGCTGTGTGGCAAGGGCAGAGGAAATGTTGAGTGGCTTGGGGCTGAGTGCTGCTCGCTCTGACAGGGTGGAGATGGATCAGGAGGGAAAGCCCAGCTGCTGTGGGAATCAGGATTTAGACAGAGGCAGTCCCAGGTCAGCCAGGGCTGCAGACCAAACCTCTCCTGATTCCAGCTCTGCTGACCAGTCTCACTCACACTGAGCCAGGCTGGCTGCTTGGGGAAGGTTTTCTGCCCCCTCTGAGCGTCAGGAGGCCCAAACCAAAGGGCACATCTGTCTGAGCACATCAGGAAGCAAATTTGGTCAGCATTTTTGGCCTCACTGAGAGCTTAGCAACCGTTTGAAGGGGTTTGAGAGAGAGGCCTGGTGATAATCAGCAGGAGGCTGCTGCTGATAAATGAACTTTTCCCTCCTTTTTCTCCCCGACTCTGCAGGCACATTTGGACTGTGCATTTTGATGTTTCAGAGCCGAAAACATCTTGACAAGGTAAACTGTGAGGTAAAAACTGGGAGCTACATAAATGCTTTTCTTACCAGGTGTTTTTTATTT